TTATTAAAAAAAGTAGTTATTATTTAAATTAAAGTAGTCATTGTGTATTTTTTTTATTTCAAATTAATGGTGTTATGGTCATTGACAAAAGACATTAATGTTACAAAATTCTCAAGGGACTTGAAAAGAATGATCACATTTTGTAAAACTTTATTGTCATTTACATATTTTAGGTGAAGTAACTTGGTCTTAGGCTTTCTTAGCCCTTTATATAAGTCATTTTCCCTTGTTTTTTGTAAGCTTATGATGCATAATTCCAAAATTACCTTCCAACAAATTCTAACAAGAAGTGTCATATTTTAATTCTCAAGAAAATTTTTCACATATTAAATCACTCTTTTTTAAATTTAAAGACAAAATTAGAGAGTAATTTCTTTTTAAGATCATTTTATTATTCTAACTAACTCACCTTGAGTTTGACAAGTTAGTTAGAAGTTGCTTATAAAAAAGACTGAACGGATATATAATACTCCCTCCGTCTTTATATATAAAATATTTTTAACTGAATCGTGCAAACCAATAAAAATTAGTTATTTAATTAAAAATACAGCAACATTTTAATTTTGCCTCTAATTATTGTAAATAAAAAATGAATCTATTTTTTCAAAATAAATTAATAAGAGTACTTATCCTTTTTTTCTTTTCAATTTAATAAGGGTATGATGGTTCATTCATTAAAAATATGCTAACAATTCTTTATATTTAGAAATTTAAAAAAAATTCTAAAAGACTTTTCATATATGGAGACAAAGGGAGTATCTATTTTGGCATCTAATAGCCTTTTATTGTAGAAGGCTCTTGATTGATAGCCTGACAATTTTCGTAAGTTGTATTTCTTTAATTGATATATTCTAATTGGCTAATTGGTCTTATTTCCTTTTTTTTTCTGATTACTTGAATAACAATTAATTTGTGAGCGTTTTATTTATAATGTTTCATTTTTCAATGCAGACACTCTTGACAGCCTATCTTCCAAGTTCCAACTCAATCATAAATTTTCAAATTCTCTTTGATTCTCTCAAGATTCAAATTTCAAAATTCAAATTTCTTTCTACATCATCTCCATCAACGATCCTATGCTAATATCCTCTATATTTTTTTCATTTCCATTGAAGGGACATTGAGCTTCACCAGATTAGACTGAAAATCACAGCTATCGTACATCATTAACTGATAAACTTCCATTTCCATCAGTCATGATCCTTTTGACTAGGCTTCTAAATATTTCAATTTACGATACATTCCCTAAGAGTCTTTACCAGTGCTTGTTAGTCTCTTTTAAGGCCTTATAATGCTCTCACAAAGTTTCCTATAAGTACTGAATGTACACTCATGGATTACAGTCTAAATCACAAGGGATACAAGTGTATAGCTCCTAATAGTAGGATTTGAATTTCTAAATATGTTACATTGAATGAAACTCACTTCCCATTTAAAATATGCCTCAGGATCAAACTTCAGCTATTTCTTCCAATTGCACACCATCTATAGCTGAATCAGAGTCTCAAATAAGATCTCAACTAAAGCAGTGGCTTTATCAACAATCTGCACTAAAGGATATGATGAAGTTGATTACTTTTTCAGGTATTGAGGTTGAGCAGATAGATAATCATACGCTTGACCTATCTCAATGCGTATATATCCTAGATTTGCTTGACCGGACTGGCATGGTGTCTGCTAAATGTTCTGTGAAAGAAACTGGTTTTACGAAGGAAATTTAAAATAAAATGATATATTGAAGAAACCAATTGCAGGATCTGAAATCATTAATAACTTCAATACAACAAGCGGAAATAATAACAAATTCAATAATAAGTCAACTTCCTATCACTAAAGCTATTTACAGTACTGAATATATAATAAAAAAATACTTAAAAAAATAACCAAACGTGAAAAATGACGCAACATGGTACTGTATCATCCTACTAAACCCATGATGAGTATAACAAAGCTGTCAAAGGGTAAAACTGAACTTATGTCTAATCTCTCTCGAGTTGTATAGATCAGTTATAGGAGGCTTCAATATGCCACAATCACAAGACCTGAGATTGCATATAATGAAAATAAAGTCTGTCAGTATATGCATCAGCCGCGTGAGCAATATTAGAAGTAAGGATGTTCAAAACCGATCCAAACCGAAAGGATTGATCCAAACCAACCTAAACGGAAAGAAACCGATCAAAACCGAACAACAATCAAGCCTGCTTTGATTTTTATGATATGAGAACCGGTTGATTTGGTTCAAATTCGGTTTTGAGTATAAAAAACCAAACTTGATTAAAAAATATTGCTTATTTATTTATAAAATATATAACCATTTATCTACAAAAAGCATTTTGTTTTAAATTTTTTTAGTAATAGATAAACATTTTTAAAGGACTTGAATGGAAATGAATAATATTAAATAATTATAATAATGATGCTATGACCAACATTTAATTATTTACAACTTGAAAGCTTCAGTATTCAATTTATCTACAAGAAGTATTTTGTTTTGAATTTTATATAATAAGTTTTTCATTATTTATTAAATATAGATACATAGATAAACATTTTCAAAGGACTTGAATGGAAATGCATAATATTAAATAATTTTAATCTTAAAAACTTATATCAATTTTTATAATTAATTATCGTTATCACATTGAAATTTTATTATATTTTTATACCTTTATTTATGAAAAAAAGGAGCCAAAAAGAATTAGATTTAATTTTAATACATAGCACCATTATGAAGATGGAAAAAAAATAAAAAAAAATTAAATAAGTGCATTGAAACCCAATCCAGACCTCAACCAAATCGAACCAAACTAAAAATTAAACCGAACCAAACCGAGCTCCATAAAAATCGATCAGGTCTCAATTATAAGTAAATCGAATGGTTTGGTTTAATTTGGTTTTAGCCTATGAACATCCTTAATTAGAAGGTTGTGAAACAAATTATTCACTATCTTAATGTTAACGGTACAATGGTACTATCACTCAAGTTCTTATGCTTACCTAAGCTACAAATTTAACTCTCACCACCCGCTTATTGTGATGCTGATTGGGCAAGCAATACAGATGATAGAAAATCAATGTCAAGGTCTTGTGTTCATTTAGGACCAAATTGTATCTTGTGGATTGCCAAAAGCAGCTCATTGTTGAATGATATAGTGCACTGGCAGAATATAGGAGTTTTTCTCTTGTAATTGAGAGCTCATGTGGCTGCGATAATTTTTGCATGAGCTTAAGCTTCTCAGATCAGTTCCAGTGATAACTCTAGAACAACGCAATTAACCTATACATCCCCCGCTCCACCATTGCACTTAACATATGAAACTTCACTGCTTGTTTTTTTTGTAGGAGAGCAGGTTCCGCAGAAGAAACTGACTACATGTCACATTCCTTCTGTTCTATTAATCAATAAGTAAGTGATATATTAACCAAGCCACTGTTGGAACCAAGGTTTAATTTTTCTCAAGGAAAAACTTAGATTCAAAGACACCAATTCACTCTAAGTTTAAGGTAGGATATCAGCAGGGGAGAGTATTAGCAGTAGTTTGGAAAAGGGTTTTAACTGTAATAGAAAAAAATCAGGAGGGTTTAATTATTGAATCACTTCCCAATGGTATGTTCCAGGTTCGTTCCTTTAACGAAAATAAGATTCTAGATAATGAAAATATGGATTTTAGGTGATCATGTTTCCGGAAGGATTCGACATAGTTTTATACGGGGAGATAAAGCAAAAAATAGAAGTAAATCATTTTGATTCAAGCAGAGGGTTATAGACTCCGGAACAAAAATTCAAATGATTATACTATTTTTCAAGATATCAGCAGGGGAGAGTATTAGCAGTAGTTTGGTTTAAGTTCGGTTGCAACAGGGATAAATGAGTATGATTTATATATATAAATGAGTTGATATATATATATATATATATATATCATCTTGTAATGAACTCTCGAAGTCAATGATAGAATACATTTTCTTTAGTCAAATCTTTTTTCCCTCTTTCGTTTGTTTTTAAAATCTTACAATCTGAGAATTAAAGAGAGATCCCAAGTTATTCCAGGTTAACATACAAAAAGGAACTCCTTATTTACCAAAAAGACTATTGCATAAGGATGAACTTTGCCAAGCATTATTACCTCATGGATTGCCAAACTTCAGTAACAGAAGTTATTGTAAGATCTTTATTTGGTGTTCCCTGTCAACGTGGAAATTGAGTTCGCATGGTTCTGCTGAAAATTTTACCACATTACATCTAATAGTAGTTTTTTTTTTTTTAGGTTTTCTTTTCCAGGATTAGCCATATGTTTTCAAATTGGTTCAAATGTTAAAAAAGCAATGAATATTAGCGAACTCTACCTAATAAGATAAAACTTGTTGAAGCAATAGAAATTGCAATTTGTATTTCAGATTCTAGCACTTATTACATGTACATATGCTACTACCTTCATTTGAATTGTTTGTTGGGAAAAAATGCGTTTTGTAGACACTTGTAAGTCAATAATTGGCTAAAGTCACAAAACATTATATCCTATTCATACGTCTTGAATGATTTCCTATGGTGTTTGGCAATGAAGGACTCTCTTACAACTTTCTCATTATCATCTCACTCTTGTTATTTGGTTAGTGCTTGAAAGGATTTTTAAAATTAGAAAGCAAATTCCATTCTTAGTTTTTAATATAAGACGACTTGTAAATCTTAATGGTCAGTATAAAGATTTTAGTTGTGGAGATGTTATATCTTATTCTAATCCACCAATGATCCAAGATCACGCAACTTGCGAAGAAAAACTACTCACAAAAAGTCACAAACTGTGTATTAAGTTCATTTCTCCACTAGAAATGAATAAACAAAAGCAAAATACTCAAATTTGTTTCACTTACTTTTCTTCCCACTCATATTATACCGAGCAATAGATACATTAGCAGAACAAAAAGGTCCCAAAAAAATCCAAACATCAGCAACTAAATTACGTATCCATCTTTGAAAAAAAACTGAAACCAGATAGTATTGATAATGCAAATAAACCTATAAATATCTGTTATCTCATATATACATTCACCATCCATCATTCTTGATAAAACCAACGAAAGGACATCAAGTCTTATAGTTACAGAATGAACTAAACTCTCATAGGTTCATTATCACCAAAGTGCTTAAACAAAGAAAAAAAATGCCAAATAATAATGAAGATTTCGTACCAAGGCTATTCAATGTGGATGTTAACAACTGGCACAAGGCTTTCGGTATAATTTAAAATATTATAACTAATGGTAGGTTTGCGGATATAAAAGGTCTTAAATTCATTAGTTGTGAGATTGAACAAGACAATTTTTCGTTCATCATTCTCCACTGGCCTGCACGATGGATAAAGATTGCAGACAATTTCATTCCTCCAAACAGTCACTGGACCTAACAAGCTACCTAAATAAGGGTTGCTAGTACATTTCTTAACCCAACTACATCCCTCTCCAGATGCACATGTACCCTCCTCGTCCCTCACCCACAAATGAATCGAAGATGATTGGGAGTCTCTTCTTGTATCATGAGAAAGCATAGCAAGTTTGTTCTCATAAGCAATACTAATTGCAGAGGATGCAGAAGGTATTGGTATCAATGTAAATACTTCCGTGGCTATGTCAAATGAGACTATCACTTCAACATCATCTTCACCCTCCTCGTCGACACCAAGCTTTACCGCATCCCAGAAGATGGCTCCATCAGTATTGTAACCGTTAGAAAGCACAGCTACACGATCTAAGCCCCCAAATTCAACTTCCCTCCATGACCCCTGTGCTTAATGTAAGCACTTCCACTTCACCAATTAAACAAACACGAATGTTCACTATCTTGTAATCATTAGCAGTTGGACTGAACCCAAATCCTACACCGTAATCGTTATTCTCTGAGTAACTAAGAGCTCCAGTCACCCGTGCCTCTCTAATTGCTGGATTCCATACCAAAATGCAAAGAGATATAGGATAAGTAGAGAGTCTAAGACAGATCAAGCCATTGCAGGAACCCAATATCGAAGGACGCCGTATAGGATCGACAAAAGCATCGTTCCGAAGTTCAAGGACTTGCATCTCACGATCGAGCAAACATATACGAAAAGAATCAGATTTGTCATAATCTCCTAAAAGAAGACAAGGGTTTTGATGAGAGGAGTAGTGGAGGTGTTCTGCGATGAAAGATGGGGTTTTGAGGAGATTTTTCCAATGCTTGCACACACATTGAAATCGGATTAGGAATTTTACCGGAAGCCTTATGAGGATGTTGGTGATGATATCTTGAGGAAGAACCGGGCAATCGCCATCCATTTAAATCTGCCACAAGCACTCCACTCGGAGGAACGCGCCTCTCAGACGAAAGCCTCAAGTCCTCGCGTCATGGAAGATTGAAATTGGGTTGGAAGGTAGCGAGGATGGTAATTTGCACTCGAGCGCGCTTGAAAAAGACAATCAACTGGGTGTCTGTTCAGATAATTTTTTTTAATCAATTTTAAAAGCTAAAATTATAATTTTATAAAAATATATTCAAACATTCTTAATAATTTTTGAGCTCACTATATAACAAAACCACAGAATCAACTATCTTTATTTTATTATTAATAGATCGTTTTTTTCCCCTTCCACATTTAAATAATTTTCAAAAACTTTATAATTTTAGAGCTAACAAATTAAGGTAAGGTTGTGCGTGTGTCAAAAAACAAAAAATTAGGAAAACACCCCCGGCCCAAACAATATAATGAATTATTATATATCTTGTCAACGAGCTTCTTTAAATTTGTGAAGTTTGCAATCTGAACTCTCTTATTTGTTATTTATAATACTGAGAATGTGATTTATCGTTAAATTAAATACGAGTCCATGGATTATAGTCAAATTGTTCATAATTAAATTAATATATTTTAATTTTATACTAATAAAAATTATGAAAATAATAAAATATTTAAAAATTAACTTCAAATAAAAAGCAAGAATAAAATTACTTAAAAATACTAAATGAGTATAGATAAGAAATAAAATATAATTTAAAAAAGTTACTAAACATTTTATAATTTAAAAATAAAATTAAAATAATTATGAGATGTACGCTACTCCCTATTTCTTAATTACCTCACACATATTTAAAAAATGAGTTAAAAATTGGCTTAATTATAAAATTCGTCAACCAAAAAAAAAAGTACAGATAGTTTCTATCATTTTTCTGACTAATTACATTAAATTCTAATATCAAGTCATCATCAAGGATATAACTCTATAAATGAAAAAGTAAGTAATGCAATGGCCACCTAAAGTACTTGTATTTTGGGTTAATATAATGTGACTAAGAATCCAATAGAACATCAATAATTAATACACCAGTTTCATAATTTATAATTTTATTATTACATGCATATTATAAATTTTATAATAGGTATGCATAACTCAAATATTGTGAGGATACTAGCAGTATAACTGAGATGAAATCTGGATATCATGAATAACAATAATGGCATCAACAGGTACTTACCCTGTAAAGCCTATGACCACCTCAAAATCCAAGAAAAAGAACCTTATTGGAAGAAAATTGGACACTGGTAACAAAATTACTAGTTGAAACTTCTAGCTCCTAAGTATAAAGATCTTATTTTATGCTGCAAATACTACAAGAGGATTCTGCACATTTAACAAGCATTATTGCCTTAGTTCTTCTGAGTTCTAATTGAGCACCATCTGCAAATGAACTAGTGTCTCAAATACGTTCTTATCGGCTTCAACCAGTACAATCTCACCAATTTCTGTTTCAACTTCCATTGACTTTCCTGCACCACATAATCCACATGTCCTATACGAAAAAATTCGATCATTCTTCACAAAGATCCCTGATTTTCAAACCTGAAGTTCTTACAGCTACTTCCCTATCACTACACATGTTCAAGCCCTTACCAATCCTAACAGGTTCGAAGCGATGGCAGAAGAATATGAAACTTTAATGCACAGTGAAGTTGGTCCTTTGTCCATCCACCTGAAGGTAAAAAGTGATTGGGCGTTAAGGGGTTAGAGAGAGAGAGAGAGAGAGAGAGAGAGAGAACCCTAGTGGAACCATAAACAAGTACACAACCATGTGGCCAAAGCTTTCCATCAAACACATGGTTTTGATTTTAAGAAACCATTCTTTCCAATGGTTAGAACCATTCTTACCTTGGCACAAAGAAATAATTGGCCAGTGTCTCAAATTGATGTGATAATGTTTTTCTAAATGGCACTCTAGAAGAATATGCTTATAAGCAACAGCCTACAGATTTTGAGCATCCCAAAAAGTCTGCTTTTTACAAGCTAGGCAAAACCTTGTTTGTGCTGAAACAAGTTCCTGGAGATAGGTATTATTCTTGTTGCAGATCTTGTAAAATATAGCTTTATAGAAAAAAAAATGTGTGACCTGTCTCTTTTTATTTAAGTCGCAATTACTAATCAGGCCTCTATTTCAGACTACATAGAGGATAATTTGCTCACAGGATTCTCATCAATGTATATCTGTCAACTAAAGAAGTTGATTTATAAATAATCATGCCAGAGGATCTAACTGAAATTAATTACTTTCTAAGTATTTAAGTTAAGAAGTCAAATGATCACACAATCGTACGACCTCAATGTATGTAAATATATCCTAGATTGACTGAACTGGTACCTTGTCTCCTCAGGGTTCTGCTATACCCATGGCCACTACAACAAAGCTCTCAAAAGGTGAAACGGAACTCATGTCTAATCCTGAGTTGCATAGATTAGTTGTAGGGATCTTCAACTTGCCACAATCACACGACCAGAGATTGCATATAGTGAAAATTCAGTCTATCAGTATATGCATTAAACCTTGTGATTAACATTGAAAGACTGTAAAGTGCATTTTTTGTAATCTTAGTGGAACTATCACTCAAGGTCATGTGTTTACACGTGCTGCTAATTTTATTCTCACCTTTTATTGTGATGCCGATTGGGTAAGCAATGCAAATGATAGAAAACTAACTTCAGGATTTTGTTTTCATTGGAACCCTATATCTTGTAGATTGCTAGAAAGCAAACTTTTGTTGCTCTCTAGTGCAGAGGCAGAATATGGGTGTTTGGCTTTTGTAGTTGAGAGTTAATGTAGATGAAATCACTTTTGCATGAGCTTAAGCTTCTCATATCAGTTCCACTGCCACATGTCTATCGTGACAACTTGAGTAACATGCAATTAACCTATAAATCCCAATAGCACTAAGCATATGAAAGTATGAAACTTGACTTGATTGTTTGTAACAGAGAAGGTTCCACAGATGAAACTAAATACTTGTCAAATTCCTTCTATTGATCTTCTTGTTGATGTATTAACCAAGCCACTGTCAAGACCAAGGTTTAATTTTCTGGTGTTTTTCTAAAATGTTACCATCTGAGAAAAACGAGCCATCCAGTCATTCAAAATGAATCTAAAAAGAAGGAACTACCAAAAAGACCCCATAAGAAAGAACTTTAACAAACAATTATTACCTAATAGAATGCCTAGCTTCATTTACAGAAGTTCTGGTAAAAGCTTTACTCAATACACCAACTTAGGTTGGGGCAAATGATAATGGCTCTTCGCACTTACACAAGTAGTTGAGAGTTTGAATCCTAGCTCTTATATATGTAACAATCTAATTATCCAGTACTTCAAGAGAGATTAAACTTTGCTATTGGGAGAGCATATTCTTTATGCCTCACCCAAAAAACAAAAGCTTTACTCAATGCTCCTAGACCAGGTGGAAATTGAATTCTCACGTTTGTACAGAAAATCTTACCACCTTACATCCGGTAGCATGTGTTTTTTTTTTTTTTTCATACTTTCTTTTCATGGGTAAGCTTAGCAAATGCCATGAAACTGATCCAAATGCTAAAGCTGTAGGTGTTGCAAGTAATGGTCTAGATTAGCAATAAAAAAAAAATTGAATTATTGATAGGAAATAATGAGGGATCATATATCCAAAATGGGGCCAACAGAGATACTTCCACAAAGTCACAAACCAGTGTATTTAACTCATCTATCCATTAGAAATGAACGAAAAGACATGAAACTTAAATTTGCTTCACCCACTTTTATTCCCTCACATATTAAAAAAAATATTAGGTACATTAGCTGGATACAAAGACCTAACTAATCCACACACCAACAACTAAAGTATATATCCATCTTTTGCTGGCAAAACAAAAAATCTATCTATGACAGAAAATTGAATAACTTGATATCATAGATAATTCAGATAAAGCTAGAAGCATATGTTATTGCATATCTGCATTCATCACTTTTGATAAAAACTCTGAACCACACCAAGCCTTGTAGTTACAGAATGAACTAAAACCTTCTAGGTCCATTTCCACCAATCGTGCAAAAACAAAGTAAATATGAAATATAATAATCAACATTTAGGACCACTGCTATTCAGTGTGGATGTTGCCGACTGGTACAAGGCTTTCTGTATAATTGAAAATACCATAACCAAGGACAGATTTGCGGATATCAAACGTCTTAAATTCATTGGTTGTGAGATTGAACATAACAATTTTTCGTTCATCATTCTCTGCATCATCTTCAACTTGATCAATGGGTTCGAACAACGTAGAAACATTGCATACAATTTCATTTCTCCAAATAGTCGTTGGAACTAACAAGCAACCTAAATAAGGGCTGCTAGTATATGTCTTAGTCCAACTCCATCTCTCTCTAGATACACATGTACCCTCCTCCATCACCCACAAATGAATCAAGGACGATTTGAAGTCTCCACTCAAAGTGTGAGAGAGCAGAGCAAGCTTGTTTTCGTATACAGTAAGATACCTGGGATATGGTGTATTTGTAATTGACAAGGGTGAAGAAGGCATTGGTATCGATGTAAACACTTCCATTGCTATGTCAAATGAGACAATCAAATCAAAATCATCTTCATCCTCCCCCACACCCAGCCTTGACCCAATCCAAAAGATAGATCCATTAGAAGTGAAACCGTTAGAAGTAATCGCTACACCATCTAAGTTCCCGAATTCTACTTCCCTCCATGACCCTATGCTTAATGAATAGGCTTCTACTTGATTAACCAGACAATCATTCCCAGAAACACCAATTTTCACTATCTTGTAATCACCAACTGATGGACTGAACCCAAATCCTACATAGAATTCCTCATCTTCAAAAGAACTAACAGCTCTAGACACCCGCCTCACCTCCCTAGTCGCTGGATTCCATACAAAAAGGGAAAGAGATTTAGGAAAAGTAGCGACTCCCATGCAGACCAAGCCATTGCAGGAATCGATGGTCCAAACACACAACCACATAGAATCAATAAAAGGATCGTTCGGTACTTCAAGGACTTGCATCTCACGATCGAGCAAACATATTCGAAAAGGATCAGATTTGCCATAATCTTCTATAAGAAGAGAAGGGTTTTGATGCGAGGAGTGTTGGAGGTGTTCAGCGATGAAATATGGGTTTTTGAAGAGATTTTTCCAATTTTTGCAGACACATTGAAATCGAATTAGGGATTTTACCGGAAGACGTATAAGAATGTTGGGGAAGAACTGGGTTGTCGCCATCCATTTCCATCTGCTTTAGCTGTTTCTAACTTTCTGTGACTGGTGAAGTGGTGATGGTAAAAAGTTGTGACTAAGGTTATTGCTAATAGGGTTAAATCTCTCCTCCCTACTATTATTGCTCCTAATCAATGTAGTTTTATTTCGAGAAGAACTAGCTCGGATAATATCATAATATTTCAGGAAGTTATTCATTCTATACGTAATATGAAAGGAAAGAAAGGCTTTATGGCGATTAAGATTGATCTTGAAAAAGCCTACGATAAAGTTAATTGGGATTTTCTCATTTCATGCCTGGAGGAGATTAATTTGCCAACTAAGCTGGTTGAGGTTATTCAGCATTGTGTAAGATCTTCTAAGATGCAACTCTTATGGGAGGTAAGTAAAACAGAAGAATTTAAACCGACTAGAGGTCTTCGTCAAGGAGATCCTCTTTCTCCTTATCTTTTTGTTTTATGTATTGAAAAGCTTGCTCATCTGATACAAGAAGAGATTGTTAAAAGTAATTGGAGACCCATTCGCTTAAAAAAAGATGGTCATCTTCTCTCCCATCTTTCCTTTGCTGATGATCTGGTTATTTTTGCGAAAGCAACTTTGGACCAAGTGCAAGTGATTAGATAATGTCTGGATCGTTTCTATGCAATGTCCGGACAAAAGGTAAGTCACTCTAAAACTAGAGTGTTTTTCTTTAGGAATGTGAATCATAATAGAGCACAGCAGCTTAGTGACCTTCTTGAATTTAACCGTACGGCGGATTTGGGAAAATATCTTAGAGTCCCTCTCCATCATAATCGTGTGACCAAAAATACTTATCAATTTGTGGTGGATAAAATGAAACAGCGACTATCTAGTTGGAAGGCAACTTCTATTTCCTTTGCAGGACGAACAACCTTAACAAAGTCTGTGTTGAGTACTATTCCTTTTATTGTATGCAAACTGCTCATCTACCTGTGAGTACCTGTGAGTAGATTGATAAATGTTCTCGAGGTTTTCTCTGGGGCTCAATAAGGGAAAGGAAAAGGATTCATCTTGTAGCGTGGGATGAAGTGTGTAAACCAAAAATAAATGGTGGACTAGGTTTGCGACATGCACATCTTCAAAATAAAGCCTTTATGATGAAAGCAGGATGGGGCCTTATACATAACAAGGAGGCTTTATGGGCTAGAGTTATTAGAAGTAAATATAAATGTGGAAGGGAGCTAATTCCACAAGTGAATAGGACTCTCCCCGGATCTCAGTTCTGGAGAGGTTTGAGAAACAATTGGGAGAAAGTTGAAGCAAAGTTAGAACTTATAACCAACCAAGCGAATGAGAAAGTTGTTAGATGGAAACTTGAGAAGCATGGTATTTTTACAATTCATTCTGCTTATGATTCATTGATAGATAGTTATGATTTCCCTGATCAGATGTGGGCCAAGATTTGGAAGCTTCGAGTGCCTCAGTGGTGTAGATCCTTCCTTTAGCTCATGAGTCATGATCGTATCCTTACTAATAAATCTCGCTTTGACTGTCATTTGAATAATCAACCGTGGTGTAGTTGTTGTCCTGAGGAGTTTGAAGACACTCTACATGTGATGAGACAGTGCCCTGAAGCTAAGGAAGTGTGGATGAAATTATTACGCCCTTCTTAAAGACGGGCTTTCTTTACCACAAACTTACGTGAATGGTGCAAGATGAATCTCAAGATTCAGGTAACAGTTAATAATTTCAAGTGGTGTGATTTGTTTGCTGTTCTGTGTTAGGCAATATGGAAACGTAGGAATGAGAGAGTTTTTGAGGGACGAAGATCGACTACAGTGAGTGTCATCGCACAAGCTACTGTTATCCTTAACTGCATGAACGAGGCTAACTGTCGTTTACAAAATACATCTATTGCTGGCATTCGTCCTAATAATCAAGTGGATATGACTATCTTAGCTACTGATGAGCTCTTTGTTTATGTTGATGGGGCTTTTGCGGCTACTACGAATTCTAAGGGTTGTGGAGGTCTAGTTAAGGATACCAAAGAGAATATCATTGAAGCTTTCATGCTTCGTTTAGAGAAGGGGGATAATCTGACGGTAGAATTATGGGCTTGTTATATGGGCCTAAAGCGTGCTTGGGATATCAAAACCAAGCATGTAAGAATCCATAATGATTATCTTGAAGCACTGTCTCTGTTAAGAGCTAATAATTACGACCTTTATGAAGACTGAGAACTTATTGCTGAAATTCAACAAATACTTCAAAGAGACTGGCAAGTTGATATGAGATGCATTGGAAGGGAGTTCAACTCAGAAGCTGATTCCTTAGCGAAACGTGCCTTATCTCTCCCCATGGGTCTTCACGTAGTGGCTGGTAACTCTATTCCTTCATTCATGGAGGAGTTTTAGTTTTTATTTGCTGTTTGTTTTGATTGTTTCTTATTTATCAAAAAAGTGGTGATCGTAGAAGACCATAGAATAAAGCACCCGGGTTTTTATCAAAATAAATAAAATTATAAATCAATTTTCCCCATGTATGGTAACCAGGAAGGGGCTTGGTCTCTATTTATTTCCCCATTATCTCTCTACCGTAAATATAAATCATTTAAATCAAATTTATATTTTTAAAATTATTACATTTAATTTTTTTTAAATTTAATTTAACAGTTCAAATCTATACTAATTTTTTCTTTTCTCTCCTTTGCAAGGGAAAAAATTCAAGACTTTTTGTTTCCACTATCCTTTCTCTCTATTTCCTCTCCACTACCTTAAAATAAAATTTAGACTGTCCAAATTTGGTACAGATTAAATCCAGATGGTTTAAATTTAATATTTTTATTTTTTTTATTTATATTTATATTTTATATTTATAATTTTTGGATCCTTAAAATTAAATCTGGATTGTTTTGATTCGTGATGGATTTATTAAAAATTTAAATTTAAATTTAAATAAATATAAAATTTAAATAAAAATAAAAATTTAAAATTGGACCATCCAAATTTAATCTATACCAAATTTGGATGGTCTAGATTTTAGTTTAGGATAGTGAAGGGAAAATGGAGAGAAAGGATAGTGGAGACAAGCCAACTCCAAAAATCCAACTCCAACCAAGAGAGTTTGAATTTTTAAGCTCGAAAAAATTTATTAATAAACTGCTATTTTAAAATATGAAATGATAATTTAGGTTTAAAACCACTGATCTTTTTAAGCTCTAAAATAAAAGTGTCGGCCCTTTTACACTCTTTTATAATTTTTTAAATGTTAATATTAAAAAGAATTAAATACTATACTAATTCTAAAATTCTAATCTTATTTCACAAGGATGAAGAAAAAATGTATAAAAAGCTTAATATCTTTGTCACTGATAAAGCTCTACAATGAGAAGGATAAAATTATATTGATGTTTGATGATCATGAAAATTATCAAGATTTAGCTTATAATGCCAACAAAGTTTAAGTATTATCAATGTTGATTCTTGATTTTGTGATATTGTTACTTTTTATTAGACTTAGATTTACTGTTGTGTACATTGACCTAAATTTATTTTTTAGTTTTAATGTTATGTGTAATAATTTTTTTGAAATTTTAAATATATCTTTTTTAAATTTTAAATTAAACAATAAAAAATATAGGGTCAGGGTTGGGCTGACTAAAATGAATCTCTAAATTATAATCAAGCTTAATAGGAGAATCTTGTTTAAACTCTGATTCAGCTTTAATTGACAACTCTATTTGCAATGGCATGAGCTTATATCTTTATATATAAATATAATTGTCACGTCCTAAAATAGAAGGTGACCGACACGGGTGTGAACCACTTTCACATTCCCGTAAGCCTTCAAGTGAATATTTATTCTATTTTTCGAGAAAGATAAAATTCAATTAAATCATATGAGAATTTAAATAACTTCTTTAAATTCATTATCATAAGAAAGTGTCAACGTTTTTGTAGACATTTCGGTAAAACCTCCCTTGTAACTAGGATCTCTCGAAAGTTCTACAACAAAATTTTTTTTACGAATAACAGTATAATTCAGGAGCGTAGCTCCTTCCAGCTAGCAATCAATATACAAATCAAAAATAAAGTTCATCAACAACCTATGTGGAGCATCTACTCTTTCTTTCAAGTCAAAAAGACATACATATTATATATTTACATTAAAGCAACAGTACCAATCAAAAGGTCCACCCACTGTAGCTAGTTGCCCTTTAGAGGTCGATAGTGGGATCAGCGTCAGCTAACAAATCTGAGCCCAAAATAATTTTTCAGTGAATAGCATTCCCATAAAAAAATTCTTAAAATTTTAATCAATAATCTTTAATAATAGTATCAAATAGTTATAACAATTCCACCAAAATTTATAAACATGTAAGTCATGACCATTTTTATGAAATAAAAGTAAATTGAAAATAATTTATGTTATCATGCTTAAAGAAAAAAATCTGCTCTCATACAACTCAAACTGATACAAATTACTAGTCAAAATCAAGGAAATTTTGAAAACACATATTAATCAACATTTAAAATTTTGAGAACTCAACAGAACAGGTTACAAACGTAAACACTCAGTCTACAAGGGTAAATAACCAAACACGCCTTATGCCACGAAACAAATGTGGACACATAGTCTATAAGGGTAAGTGACCAAATGCGGCTCAGGCCACGGAATCAAATGCGGCTACGAAGCCTACGAATACCAAATGTGAGAATAAAACTCACAAAACAAACTAGCTAGTATTTAACCACAGCACGCTACGGGCTAACGGAACTGCCGTTAGCAACAGTGTTCTATTTTGAGTCCTCTTAAAAATCACGTTTCAAACATGCAAGAAGAATAATTACTGCTATAATAAAATTACTGTTCTCATTGCCAAACTCGTATGAACTATTTCAATTCTCTAAATTTATGAAAATCATACTTGTAGCTAATATGCCAAACTTGTAGTAATTGAATAGCCAATACATTTCAAAGCTTAACAACCATACAAAAATACCGTCATCAATCTTGAAAATACACTTTTGAAAATAATGAATGCATGTATCATAACTCGTTTATTCTTCGTTGATATTTCATAA